CACACGGGCGTGGTATGGCACGGCATGGCTGTAGTTTACTTAGATTTGTAATTTATGTTCATTAAGTGCTAAGTAAATATTCCTGTGACCTAAATTCAGCTAATGCTTAAACTCACCGAAAATGCTTTATTCTACCTGTAGTCATAATGACTTTATCAGCTGAAAAGCAGTTTGTTCTCTTAAATGGCCCGACATGAGCCCATCAACTTTTGCCATGTTTTCAAGGCACCCTGCAGTGCTCTCCTTATTGAAAAAAAAGTATAGAGACTGTATTGCAATCAATACCGAGCGAACCTGCAACTTTTGCTTTTGTATTGCCTCTCTGCACTCTAATAACTCTCATAACATCATGCTCTCAGGAAGTTTAAATGTCAGGGCTAATTAATTAAGATGGTTTGTCTTCTCTTATTAATCCCTTAAGTACTGAGAACCCATTCCCCTTTAATCGGAAGCAGCTGTGGCCAGCATGGCTCAAGAGACAGAAAAACAACATTTTACTGGGAGGCACTTCCTAGGACTACATTTCTGAAACAATAATTAAAGTAACTGTTGCTGTAATTCCAGTAATAAGGTTAAAATGTGTCGCTACAATTTCCCTTTCCGAAACTCCATCCAAATGATTTGTGAATGTATCTGTGACAGCCTATCATGCACAATGTTGCTCAAGAAATTGCTGCCTTCAGCACGCATAGATACTTTCCAAGTCTCTAATTTTGCAATAGGCTTTACCTAGATGTCAAAAATTTACTGAAGAACTGAGCCCTTGCTTTTTAACTATATCAACATTGCCACTCTCTAATTTTTTTACTGAAGTACTTCTTTTGTTAGACTTTTGGTTTGCTTTCTAATGCATAGATCAAATAAAGTAGCCTATTTTTCACAAGGAGATTGTAATTCAGTTGCACTTATTTCTTAAAGGGAAATAGCACAGGGAAAAAAATATAGCATTTAATATTTGCATACCAGTTCAACACATTATTTTTAAAAAATTTAAGTACGTTTGGCTTGTTTATAAAGTGACGGCTTAAAAAACCAGGGTTATCTAAACTACATTCATATTACTGAAATAATTTTGATCATTGAACTGACCTTTTCTAAGCTTGCTATTTACTACAGATATCCATCCTGGACTAGAACCTGAGAGCTGGTTTTCAGCCTCTAGAAATGCCACGTGGGTAGTGACTAGCACCTTTATTTACATTAATCAAGGTCTAGAAGTTCACCGGCTCTGCAGCTGGAGCATTTTTTACATACCTGATGTCCTGAGCGCTGGGCTACAGTTGATTTCCTGAATCCTCTCTAAAGGCTCAAATTAATTTGTTTCAAGCTTTGGACAATTTCTACAAAGCAGATTTACCTCCTGGGGTAGGCAAAGGCAAGCCCGTGTGCGTATGAGTTTCAGCTGAGGAGATGCTGGGTCAGCTCCAGGTGAAGTTCATTCCACAAGACTTAAGAGTGAGACAAACAGCACTTTGCCATGAGAGCAGGACAGAGCCTGAAATTAATCTCTGAGACAATTCTTGATAGAGCCAATTTTAGTTCAGTCTCCCTGACAAACGTGATACTCAATATGCATTTTACTGTATTTATAGAAATGCACTGAAATCACAGAATTCTTGAAAAAATGATAAAAAATACATTTTGATGAAGTACCTTCCATTTTTTTTTTTTTTCCCCCCACAAGAATTCTGGTTAGTAAAAAGAACTATTTGCTAGTATAATTCACATCTGCTGAATAGTTACAGTTATGACCAGTGGAACATGATGTTATGATTTTAAAATATATGTTGTTTTATGTTTGATTTACTAATCACACCTTGAAATGAGCTAACAGCGGGTTTACAGCCCATTCTCTGCGCATGCACACAGACCCTCCTTTAAATCTGCATTATTATAGGATACCTTTCCTTCTGCAACAGCAATGGACAGGGGTGCCTCATTAATGAAGAAAAGCAAGCTACAGTGTATTTTAACATCTGTTGTCTCAGAAAAAAACTCTATTTGAAACAACAGGAACAGAGGTAAACTGGCTTTGCAAGTTGTTTTTATCAAGTAAACTTATTTGCTATCAATTTTACTCATTCATTAGGAATTTTAAAACTTCCAGTTATATATTTTTAAGGAATAACATGTACTGCTTTCAGTAGACCAACACAGCTTTTTATCATTATTTGTAGTGTTAATGCTGCAGTATCCTTAGCGTGTGTGGTGCGTTGCAGGCGTAAAGAGGACTTGGTTCTTGTTCCCAGACAGCAGGCAAGAGTTTATGGTCCTGAGGCTGGGATATACAACGGGTATGCAGAGCTCGGCTCCTGCAGGGCCTCCCTGATTTTTAAGACAAATTCTGTTGAGGAGATGCAATCTCTCCAGGCACTGAATATTGATCGAGTTGGTAACAGTACATGAGAAATTATCCTGCTGGAGAGGGAAGAAAGAAGGAAACTGGTGTTTTTACTTCAGTCACTCTGGGTACGAGCTCTATCCCACCAGCTTGCGTTTCCTCTTTCAAGGAGTTTGAAAAGTGGCAGAAGTTTGGGAAAATTACACCAGTACAAGGAGATGGTTCCCCGTATCTCCTCACAGGTAAAATAATTCCCATTTCCTCTCTTACCCTCCCAGTAGCCGAGAGGCAACCTCAGAGGTATGGCCACTCTCCTTGAGACATTGAACCAATGATGGATGCACCTGCTCCCTATGTGTAAAAGAGCCTCAGTTTATAATCAAGGGAGGAGGAGAGGGTTTTTCACGTGTTTTCAGCATGGTCAAATGAGTTTTTTACGTGATTATTTTCTTTTAGTCCTAACCGCTAAAAGTCATGCATCAGCATCCTCCTTTGGACTGTTTTATCCACAGGGATAATTTTCTCTGGAATAGGAGTAAAATGTCACTTCTTATGCAGAGCTGGAAACTGCTGCCAGGAGCAAGGAATCCTTCACCCACCGAGCTGTGAGTCTCTCACCATCCTATTACACAGCTTGATAATCAGCTACTTGGAATAAGCTTTTGTAAAACCTGCAAAAATATACAGAATTGTTTTATTTACAAAGTCTGGCTGTGTTGTAATCCCAAAAGGTGGTAAGCATTTTAGACATATGGACCTCACTTGTGGCCATGTTCCTGTAACAGCACTTAGCATTTTTGTCTCTGTCATTACAACATTTCCACTCCTTTGGAAGTTGACCGCACTTTGAGCAAGCAGCTGCATCAGAGGACCTGCAGAGGTCTCAATCTAAGCGAGTTTATGTAATTTATCTGACTGAAATGTTCTGCAAGCATTCTTTTTATTAAAAGAAACAGGACATCAGAAAACTCAAACTTTACACCAAGCACTTGCTGGAGTTATGATGATACATATTTCTCCTTTGGTATGAATTTATTGCATGGAGAATGTTTCATATTTTTTCTAATATATACTAACAATGTGGTATAATTTTAAATATGCATTTATGTTTTAGTAGCCGAATCCCAGTTGTACCCTAGTAGACTCGCAACTTTTCTTATCTATCACTTTGGTTTATCAAACCAGTGCTTTTAAAAGCTGTTCCAACTAACACTTGTGTCTAAGAGCTGCAAGAGGACTTCCTAATTTTCTACATATAGAGACTTTTGTAACATCAAAATCAGATTTAGATGATAAACTACATCAACTCCAACAGAAGCCAGTGTGGTCTCTTTTGCATATGTGAGGCATATTTTACATCTGTTTACAAAACTTAGTAAGTATTTCTCGCCTCAGTCTGACATTTTTAATAATGCAGAACTGACCGAACCATGAGACATATTGATGTAATATTAAACACTGGATTTAAATTCACTGAAGCAGGACTGCTTACAATGCAGGCCAAGCTTCCAATTGTTTATCTGCACATTTTGATATTGTACGAGCTTTTGAGGAGGGAATAAATGGGTTATAGAAGTCAGATGCAGGCTAATTCAAAGATGCTTTGTCAGGATAAATTTTAGAATTAAAATGGAGTGACAGTAAACAATGTAAAACCAGACTCTGATACCTCTGACTGCTTGAAAGTTTATGCCAAACTTCTGTTAATGTATGTATGGGAGTTTTGTGCAATTTGATAAGTGGAATAGGATCTATTTTCTGTTATGTTTAGTTAAAATACACTATTTGTTGCATAACAAATTTCAAGAATTGTCAAAGTACAGAAAGACAGCTACCATCTATGCATCTCCACATATCAGACAGGACTGCAACAAGTACCTGTTAGAAAGGCTTCCCAATGCCTCCCATTATGAGACTCTACTGTACTTGCAGCTACCCAGTCTTGAGAGTTTGAACCAAATGTGTCATTTCTACCTCATCTACTGCTGTGTGGAATGACTAATCCAGAACAGCTCAATCGTTCCATGGGTAAGTCTAAGGAAAAACATATTGGTTTGCCCCTCTTAAAAAAGAAAAACAAGCAAACACAACAGGCATATTTTCCTTGAGAGGCACTAGACCCCTCACAGCTTTGTAAAGAGAGATGTGTGTTTGGCATGGATGGGCTGTGTAGCATAGATGTGACCTTGTTAGCCTTGGTTAGACTGTCTTGTGAGCAAAAAGTAGTGGTTGCTTAGCTGTGTAATAGTTATCTAAACAAGAAAAAGGTTGGAAATGCAACATTAAATTAAAATATTTTTGGGAAAAAAAAAAGTCATTATTACAATTGTAGAGTCAAGCAGTCAAGTTAGGAAATGCCAGAATTAGAGACAAATACCTCCCAAGGGGTGCAGAAGAGTGTGCTCTATTTCGCATGAGAGCCTCACAACAACAATGGTAGGTAACAGCAACATGGCTTTGCAAACATAGTTTCAAAATCTCCCACTGAAGACCCAGGCTTCTAAGAAACTTAGGGAAATGAAACTGGGGATATTCTGCTCCAAGTAAGTCTTTAGAAATTTCAGGCTAGGCGGACAGTTAATACTAAATTTACAATGGCAAGAGCCAAAGTAGAAATAAAGCAAATACCCATGTCCAGAAAACAAAAATAAAACCCACAGAAGTTTTATTTTTTATTTAGAAGTAAAATAAAATGTGACATTTCGATCTAGAAGCCACTGACAGATGCTATGGTAAATTCAAACGCAGAGAGGTGGTTTTAGCTTTCAGATTCCTCCCAAATTCAGCTTCTTCCTCTTGCACTGGAGACTTGCACAACCTGTGATGTGCCTGAGGACACATCTGTTTAAGGCAGCCGCTGGAGTTCAAGCTTATCTGCAGATGGTGCTTCAAAGACATCATCTTCGACACTTTCTTCTATTGGCTTCATTTTTGCTGAAGTTCTCAGGTAGGGAGATGTCCGGCCCGGGCCTGCCACAGTTACAAAGAAATTACCAATTAACAACACGTACATGTTACATACACCTACTTCCGACAGAGCGTACACAATCTGAGGATCCTGTCCCAGTTCCCTCGTGACAGGATTTTTTTAAGCGAAGGTTTCTTTGTTATTTTGCCACAAGCAGCAGGAAATTTTAGCCGCGGGACAGCCGTGCCTCCGAGGCCCAAACCCTGCGGCCGGCCACAGGCACACTATTCCCCCCAAATTCAGTGCAGATCCTGACTGCACGAGGTGCCCAACGCTGTGTCCCTGGGGGTCCTCTTCTGTTACACTCAACCCACTAATTCTTCTCCACGAAGAACGAGGTGAACAACTGCCCTCAGTACAAAAGGTACGTACGTTTGCACACTTGCCCCAGCTGTGATAAGATTCCTCGGTGTACTCGGCAAACCTCAGGTGGGTACCCGAGCACAGCTCTAACTGCCTTAAAAGCATGATAATGTAAATCTTGCGGAAAATACAACCCCCCCATCAGCAACCATAGAGGAAACACGATTAAGAGGTGAAGGCCATGTAACTTCTGACTGACAGTGACTTCACTGCTCTAAGAGAATCTTCTGGAAAAGCAGCGACTCACAAAGCTTGCCAGAGCGGAGCGCACACACTGGCCATTGCTGGTAAGACCTTAAATGGAGTTTTTATGCAAGTTACCACTGCAAACTACCTCTACTGTAGTTAAATTTTCAGCATGAGTGTTAAACCAGAGAGCTCCTTTGACGTCAGCCAAGCAGGTTTATTTCCCATTGTTCACTCTGAAATCGACTCTGCACTCGGACACTTCTTTTCTGTCGGTCCCCTCTTCCAGAGTTAAACCACCACAATGGGACAAGGTTGTAAACAGCTAGCATATGATGACCAGAAAGATGAGGGAAATCTTTGAAATGCCATTTTAGAAGAAAAGAGCAAGAGGTAGTGGTCCTGTCTGACAGATCGTCTCTTTACAAGCTAAAAATTCGAATCTTCTTGAAAAAAAATCCTGATAGACGTAACATAACTGTTATTGCAGGGCTACTCTTGCTACTTTAAAGGAAGTTTATTAGCTATACAGTAATGTGCTCTGCTAAGGAAGCCTTTTTATCAAGACGGACTCCTTTGTGCTGCATATGTTACACAGAGAACAAAATACTAGCTACAGGCAAGACCAGCAGGTTACTGTATTTCTGCATTTTTAAGTCACATTCACGCAAATGCTACTTGGAAGTAGCTTTTTAAAACTTTTTATGTTAAAAATGTATTAGTATTTTCTTCTAACATTCAAAAACTACCACAATAAAGGGTTATTTGCACGCATTTTAAAACATTGGACTTGTTAAGCACTTCTTTTTTATTACTTTATTAGTGGTTTATTACCATTTTCATACGGGTTCTCTTCTGTTCGAGTGCTTAGTTCTCTCCAGAAGTCAGAAGTATGAAGCCATAAAATGTTTATAGACTATAAGTCTGTTGGACAGGATCCAATATTGGGTCTAATACTGTCAAGTCGTTTGGTTCAGACACACGCCCTTATTTTCTCCAAATACAAAAACCCTTGTCTATTGATGTCCAGTGTTGGACAGGTGTTCAAAAGACTGAATCTGATCTTGAACGTGGGCCTTCCATACATTACTCTGTTACACCATCTTGAGGACCTAAGCCTAAATGCCCATTTGGCATCTCCCCTGAAACCCAAGCCTGCTTTTAACCACAAGTTGGGTATAACATAGGGAACACACATACTGAGATAACACCAATAAAAGGATTACCGAATCAAATCTTTCCTACATTCCTGCTTAGCTTAGAAGTTTGCAAATACAGCTTCACAGACCAGCAAATCTGAGTGATCTAAACCAAGCAGTATAGAATGAGAGACTGTATCACTAACAATTATACGAATGACTATCAAGCAATAGAATTATTGAATAGAAATTGATACCGAAATATTTTCTGAAGGACTGAAAGTCAGGTGAGGCTACCCTTGTAATCAGGTTGAGCTACTTCTGCTTAACTCAAATTTTGGAAAAAGAGATGCATCAGTTTCATTTACTAATAAATTACATACAGATGGATCACGGATGTCAAGCACAAGTATCACGTGATAAACAAACCCCAGTTTAATACCTTTTTGAGGAGGCTTGCTGAGTTAATGTGATGTTATCAACAGAAAACATCATGCTGCAAACGACTCACTCCGTAAGCATTATAGAACTCTTGTTGGTTATTTCCTTAATATAAAAGCAAACAGTTAGTTGGGTTTCTTAGTTAAATTAAAAACACAGTTTTGTTAGTAATCATAGTTTGGGGCCTACTAATTAGTATTTTTCATTCTTCCACTACTAAACACTTTCAAAAAAGCTTTATATCAATTTCTTTAGAAAATGAGTCAAAGCTTATTACTTGTAGCACAGATAAAAGCATAATTTTAAAAAGTTTGGATTATACCAAAATATAAATGCTAAATTTTTCATTAATATGGAAATTAGGACAATAAAACTTATTTGTATTGTAGTAGTCAAATATCGTATTTGTAATGGGAAATTTTTGTCCACACAACAATCACCTAGCATGACAAGACAGTGTTCCTGTAGGTAAGTTTCTCATTAAAAAAATTGTCATTTCCATGCGTTCCTCACTAATTCTGGGGTATTGGGGGTTTTGGTTGGTTGTTTTTTTCTAAATAAATGAATACATGACTGCAGAAGAAGAATGCAGAGGAACAGCACTGGAACAGTATGTCTCAGTATGCAACTCATACTGAATCTTAAAAAACAGCCAAAAAAAAAAAAAAATGAGACTGACTGCTGCACTGAGAGCACCCAGGAGAAGGTTTTTGAAGACACAACAGTGGGAAGGCAAATGGCAGCTGTTTTGTTCACTTTTCCCTGTGATCTGAAAAAAAGTGCATACATGGCTACAATCCAAACATAATACAAATCTTTAAGCAGAGCTCACCTTGGCAGCAAACCCCTCATTGGTAATGCCAGTACCCAGGAATAACTAACAAGCTATTTTGGCAAGAAGAAAGATTGAAGTGTTACAGTTCAGTGAGATAAATAACCTTTCATCAAGATTTTTTACCAACCTTTTATAGAAGTCAGAAATTTCGCATTAATTAAAATGTACAGAAGAAATAAAGGACGGTACTTCCTGAGGTGTATGATACACTGCTGTAAGGGTAACCCCTCTGCCTCCCCAAAAGTAAGGGATATATTGGACTTGGGAGGCCGCTGCCACACCTACTGTTGCCTGTGGGACAGTGGCTGTATCAACTGCACCAACCGCTGTTGGACCCAGCAATTTCAGAACATAAAAGACATTTAAACCCCTCTTTTGGGGAAAGTAAGCCCCATACCCCAGAAAACATGGTACACAAACCAAGAAAAAGTACAACAGTGGAAAGTGCATTTATCAAGTATGTGGTAAGCATGGATGCTTCCTAGGGATTAATGTCATTACAGCTGAACATGTCATGCATTTAGATTACCGTCTCCCAAAGCTGAAATACTGATGTAAGTGTTCTGCTGCTAAGCCTGAAAGAGAATTTTAATTCTACATAATCGCACAAACACATTTTTACAATTTCTTTCAGGCTTCTGAGTACGCAGATTTGTCCAAGGGCGCTCTATGCAAAGGAGTGGCTTCAATTTCATGGAGCTTTGCTGTGGAACAGGTGAAAAGCCAGTTGGGAGCTTATGGGTAAAGATCAGAGAACAGACCAACACAGGAGACTTCATGGCAGGTAACTGCTACAGGCTGCCTGATCAAGAAGAGCAAGTAGATGGAAGCCTTCTTTAGACAACTGGGTGAAGCCTCATGATCGCAGGCCTTGGTACTTGTGGGGAGCTTTAACCACCCCAGTATCTGGTGGCAAGGCAACAGGGATGGGCACAAGCAGTCCAGGAGGTTTCTGGAGAGTGTAGCAGATAATTCCTTCACAGAAGTGACCGATGAGCCGACTAGGAGAGGTGCTCTGCTGGACCTGTCACTAATGAACAAGGAAGAACCCATCAGGGAGCTGAAGGCTGATGGTAACCTTGGCTGCAGTGTCTAGGAGCTGCTGGAGTTTAAGATACTGAGAAGTGTGCAAGACAGATGGTAGAGTTACAACCCTGGATCTGAGGACCCTGGCTTGCTCAGGGATCTACTTGGCAGGAATCCATGGAACATGGCCTGCGAGGGCAAAGGGACAGATGGCTGATCTTCAAGGACACCTTCCTCAAAACACAAGGACAGTCCATTCCAGTGTACAGAAAGTTGAGCAAGCGTGGTAGAAGGCTGCCATAGATGAACAGGAAAGTCCTGACAGAGCTCAAACACACATACACGCACACACACGAAGTGGAAGCACAGATGAGCTGCTTGGGGGGAATACAGAAACATGGCCCAAGCATGCAGGGATGGAATTAGGAAAGCCAAAGCTCAGCTGGACCTGGATCTGGTGAAGGGCAACAAGAAGGGCTTCTACAAATACATCAGCAACAAAAGGAAGACCAGGGAAACTGTGAAGCCATGGCTCAGTGGGGCACAGGACCTAGGGACATGGAAAGGCTGAGATATTAAATACCTTTTTTGCTTCAGTTTTTACTTTACAGGTTTGTCTTGAGGCCTCCCAGTTCTCTGAGTCTACTGGTAGAGACTGGGAGAGTGACACTTGACTTACAGGAAAGGCGGACTCCGTTAGGGAGCACTTCAGTCAACAGGGCAAACACAAGACTGTGGAATCACATGAGCTGCGTCCAAGGGTGCTGAAGGTTGGTTGAAGTGATTGCAAGACCGCTCTATCATCTTGGAAAGGTCATGGCAGTCAGGGGAGAGAAAAACCCACAAATATCATGGCCATTTTCAAGAAGGGCAAGGAGCATCCAAGGAACTATTGGTCTATCAACCTAGCCTCAGTCCCCAGGGAGATTATGGAGCCTGTCTTCCTGGAAGTCATGCCCAAGCAATATGAAAGACAGGAAGGTGGCTGGGAACAGCCAGCATGGATCTACCACAGGCAGATTGTGCCTGACGAGTCTGACTGTCTTCTGTGGTGCAATGACAGGCTCTGTGGATGAAGGGAGTACAGGTGGATGTTGTTTATCTGGACTGTAGCATGGCCCTCCATAACCTGCCACAGAATACTTCTAGCCAAATGGGTGAGAAATGGACTGGATACACGCACTACAGCTTGGGTAAAAAATTTGCTGGACTGCTGAGTTCACAGAGTGGTGAAGAGCAGCAATACAACACCCTCTGGCAGTTAGATACCAGCAGTGTCCCTTGAGGGCTAATACCAAAGCCTATAATGTTCAATATATTAATGACCTGGATAATGGGATGGAGTGCACTCCCACCAAGTTCAGAGACAGCAGCCAAGTAGTGAGGAAAGCTACTGATCGGCCAGAGGGTAGGGTGGCTATTCAGAACAGGCCTTCAGAAGCTGGAGAAAAGAACTGACAGAAACCACATGAAGTTCAACAAAGGCAAATTCCTGCACCTGGGACACAAGAAACCTACACAGCCGTACACCCTGGTCATCAACTGGTCGGAAAGCAACCTTTCAGAAACAACACCTGGGGGTCCTGGTGGACACAAAATGGAATATGAGTCAGCAGAGTGCTCCTGCAGCGAAGAAGGCCAATCATATATTGGGCCATATTAGCAGCACATATTGGGCTGTATTAGCAAAAGCATAGCCAGAAGGACAATGAAATACATTAAGCCCCTCTATACAGCACTTGTGAGGCAGGATGTGGAGCGCTGTGTCCAGTTTTGGGCTTCCCTGTACAAGAAAGACATGGACATACTGGAGCAAGTGCAGTGGAGAGCAACCAAGATGGCCAGGGGCTGGAGCACGACATACATGGAGAGGCTGCAAGAACTGGGTGTGTTCAGCCTTACGAAAAGAAGGTTCTCAGGGGATCTTACTGTTGTCTTCAGCTACCTAATGGAAGGGTATAAAGAAGACAGAGCCAGACTCTTCCCAGAGGCATGCTCTAAAGAACAGTCATCAGCTGCAATAAGGGAAATCTTTTTCACCATGAGAATGGTAAGGCCCTGGAACAGGTTGTCCAGAGAGGCTGTGAAATCTTTCACCTTGGAAATATTCAAAGCTTGACCGGACATGTCCCTGAGTAACCTGCCCTAGCTGACCCTGCTTTGAACATAGGATTGGACTAAATGATCTTCAGAGGTTCCTTCCAACTTCAACTGTTCTGTGATTCTCAATGTCCTTTCAGGGTACAGAGGAGAAATAAAGAAAACAATGGTGAAATTTTCATCAAACTATATCCCAACTGTCACCCTTGACATTCTAGTAAGGTGAAACGCTTGCTGGGCTTTTGTTTCCATCTATCTATCTGAGCAGGCAGACTATACCAATGTTAAGGAGTGAAAACAGATAAGCCCTCCAAGTCTGAAGGAGTTCCTGGATGAGAACTGTGAGGAACACAATGAAGAACAGATAATTAAACAGGAAATTGCCAATACTTTAAATCACTTTTCTTAGCAGAGAATTTAACCGTAATAAGTAACTGGCAGTGATTTTTTTCCTTATATATTTGATTTCTAATTACTAAAGAATAGTATTTCCCAAATAAAAATAAATAATTTTATATTATCCTTTTAAATTCTGTTAAACTAACAGCTTATGACAAATAAGAAAATAGAGCATCTTCTGTTTTTTTTTTTTTTTTTGTTTGTTCAAAAGATGCTTTCAGAGTTCAGGCTACTGTTGAAGTTGAGGTTCAGGAAAATTAAAGTGAAAAATAACAATAGCCTAGAAAGAATCATTTAGAGGGTTTTTATAAAGGAATAAATTCCGAGAGTAGAAGCAAAAAGGTCAGACCTGGTTTCTTCCCTCATTTAATCTGCTCTCTACTATTCCTGTCATACAAAGCACAGGGGAGGAGAGCCTGAGAGGATATGTGGATATTTTCCAGGTAGCATCAAAATATTGGTTGTACACCATATTTCTCCAAACCCTGTCAGTAGAAACTATCTCCGGAGGAACTGCAGAGCACCGAATTTCTGAGGGAGAAAGTTTTGTTTGGGTTTTTAATTTCTACAAGCACCAGTCACAGACCAAAGGAGATACTACTGTGACAGGCATAGTACGTTCACAGTTTTGCCCCACTGCTATAAACATTCCATATTATGCCTAGACATTCACATTATGCCAAAAATCATTACACTACATGCTGGATTTTTGCCAGTATCTACATGAGGTACCTTCAGTTAGCATACAAAGCCTTATGCATCTTATGAATTCCCTACAGTTAGGTCCCTCCACGTAGCTGATGTACAGCAGCACCCGAAAAGCTACAGTCTGCTACCACTGAAGACAACAGGAGTTCTGCAATCATCTCTTATGATCAACTAAGCTGTGTTCAAAACTGGCGTGAATTATTTTGAGCACTCACGAAGAGAGGATGCAGAGGAAGTTCCGCGAAGAAACATCTGCAAGCCATCCTCACTGTCACTGGTACTGGCCATACTGTTTCTCATCTGCATCACAGAGAGCTGTGAGCAAAGACTAGGCTGTCGATCAATCTTTTTTGAAGCCTAGAAAAAAAAAAATTATTATTTTAAAAAAGGCATCAAGTAAATGAAAATAAAAATGGAAAAGAACTATTCCCTCCGTAGTAGGTGCTCTGGTCTCAGCTATGACTATTCATGAATCAAGAAACTGGTTCGAGCAGAAGATTCTGTGCAGTGTAAATTGATTTAAATGAAAATAGAAGATGCCAGTAATATACTGGAATTAGAACACTGACAAGCACAAACCCCTAGATTAATTATTCAATTTTCATTCTGTTTTGCACTGGACTTGTCACGTATTTTCCTACAGAAAGGTTGATTTTTATTATCTGGTAATTCACTATTCAGGTATGATGAGCTGCAATTAAATACAACCTTTATGATGAGACTGGTGCTCCTTGCTAAACAGGACAGCATGTATACAGAGTTTAGCAATTTATATCTTAATAGAGACTTGTTCACTTCCTTGGCTTTTCAGTTCGTCTTGTTAGAAAACAGTGAATGCCACTCCTTCCTAGAAGATGATCATTTAGCCCTTTATTTTACTGAAGACAGATTAAACTCATCCCATGAACATTATCCTCTGCCTGTCAAATGGTCTTAGGAGCTTCCATTTTCTTTGAGTTGTCTTCCTGAGAAGTCTTTGTACTGCAATATTTATATGAAACTATACATTATACCTTGTTAAGTATTACTGCAAGTCAGAATGCTATTTTAGGTATATGTGAAAGGTAGTAATCAATGACAAAGGTATAATGGATAACTCCATTTCACTGAACTTCAGAAGTCAGGAATTAGCATCCTGTTTCATGCAGAGAGGAACGACTATTTTCCCAACAGCAGTGAAAATTTCCTTAGGTAGGAGAAAATCACAGGGTTCCTTACAAATAACCAGATACTTTTCTGTTTTCCAATATGCAATGAAGATATTCTTATCTTCTTAGTACCATCCTGATTACAAATAACCTATACTGAATTTGGTTTAGATTTTCTCTTGTATGTCCCCTGTGTACAGAAGTCAACTACAAAATTTTCTGTTGAGATTGTCATCAGCTAAAAAGCATTAAAGACACCAATAATGTGTGTACGTGACAATGGAGCCAGTGAGAAATGACATGCCCACAGGGTGCTGGCAACAGGGAAATGAAGGAGAACTTACTTGACAGACAGTTCTTGTCCCACATTATGTAGGGAGGGCTTGTGCAACAGGATTTTCATTTGAGGAAGAATAAAAAGGTACTACAAATTTCCCAAATGCTCACTCTTAATTTTTATAACATACATTTTCAAAAGTCACTGTGATAAAACAGTTATAATAATCTTAAATTCATGTGACTATTATCACTAAGGATAAAGACTTGGTACAAACTGAAGTTAAAGTGTGCAAATGTGAAGTCAAAATTGGGGTGAAGTCAGGTGGGGTTTTTTAATACTTAGAGGGTACAATAAGGACCTTTCACTTAAAAACAACCAATTACAACATTACAATGAATACCTCACTGTATTTCCATTTCAATAAATATTTATACTAGTGCTGAAGCTCTACAGTGCCAGAAGTTGGCAGTACAAGTTTGGTGCAGATGAGTTTGTATACTAGGCATGACACTCTTAATGCTCTTATCCATGTATAAAAAAAGAAAATGAGGGAATGAAAGAGGAAAGAAAAGAGAAAAAGGCGAAAAAAAAAAAAAAAGAGAGAGAGAAAAGAAGAAAGAGGAAAAAAGAAAATTAAAAAAAAAAAAGGTAAGGTAAGGAGTGAGAACAGCAGTCTCTCGGGAGAGGCAGTCTGAATGCACATGCTGGAGGCACATTGTTACGTGTTCCTTCCAGACGCCACACTCCAGAAATTACTGTCCATGTAGAGGTGGACTTTAATTATAGAACATTGTCTTGTAATTCTCTATTATTTAAAAAACAAAAAATCTTTAACCACACACTTTATAAGATGTATTTTATAAATGATACATTCCTTCTAGATCATTTTTATCTTACTGAATTAGTAAGATGAAAACAGTGATCCAAAATGGTTTTGAGGATCTGGTTGCAAGAGTGTATAATCTTTATTTCATTGATCATAGGCAGAATAAGCAGTGCTTTATCACTGTTAAATTGTTTCTCCAGCAATTCTTTCTTTTCTCTTTCTATAATCAGTACAAAATTGAGAAAGCTTACAATGTTTAATTATCCATAAAGACATTACAAGTTAAGCCTAAGTCTGTTGTATAGCACCCGTGGCAGTCATTCCTTTTGAATTATTTTGTAGTAAATTCACAACTTTGCAGAAGTAAATATTTAACCTATAGATGAGATATTCATGGGCAATATGGTGAGAAGGATTTTGATCTGAGTTAGTGTGAGTTAAATACTGACAGAATATGAAAATACTGTATTATAAAATTATAAAGCTTTTCATAAGTGGTGAAAGTTCTTCAAATAAATTATATATGAGAACCCAACAGCCACTACATAAATAATAAAAAAAAAAACAAACACCAGCAGCCAAGTTACTGTCCAAATCTTGAAAAACCATGTAACTGAGACAAAATGAAAGCAAAACAAGATAATCAATCTATCTATGACTATACCCAGACCACTTCCTGTGACACCTAAAACACCCTCCCCTCTACATGCAAAGAAGAATAAGCTATATCACTGAATATTTTACATTTATTTCTATTTTATATGTATTTCATGCCTCTTTCCACCAACTACACTGTATCAGTATGTCTTTTTTCCTTTGTGTGTACTTGCAACCCTTAAACACATGTTGAAATTATTATTCTTGGCAATCAGTATTACCCAGTTGTTTGACCCCAGCAAGCAAATTCTTTAAGAAAAAACACCTGAAGCTTCTTTGTACAAAGGCACCCATTTGTTAATGAGAAAGGCTATCCAGGGAGAAGCACCTTTTTAGCTACTGGCCAACATGTCTACTAGTTGGCTAGAAATATTGGTGCTAGCCAATCGGTTCTGAATCTCAGTTATTCATCTTTTTTTTTGCTTACTGTGATAATTTTAATCAATATTGCTTTTGACAAAAACACTGCACTGACTCATACTTTGGCACTAAAAGACAATGAGTGTGAATTCAGCAGCTGACGGCAGCAGGTTAAAAAAAGGTGCTTCAAGATGATTTAAAGTTGAAGTAACAGTACATCTAGGGAGGGGGAGGAAAATTCCCAAATGACGCTTCAGTTGCTTACCTTGTCGTTTAAAGTCGGGTCATTCAATGAATAGAGTTTATTTGTAATATCTTTGCCAATAAGATACTTAAAGATCTCATAAAGAAATGGCTCAGATTCCAGAAAATAAGTCAGCCTTTCTCTGGACCAGCACAGGAACTTGCAGTTATCATCTGCGATAATGGTGACCTGAGAAAATACATACTCATAATTAGCACTTCTCTTTTGCTTTAAAATAAGTGAAACCATTTTATTTGTGACTCCAGTTAAAATAACTCTTAAATCCACAAAACCTTTTGGTATCCCCTTAGAATATGATATTTACAAATGTAAAACGTCTCAGATATTTATTATCATCATCGTATTTTTAACCGATAGGCATGGCCAGTTTGTTTTTCAGAAAACCTGGAGGGAGATAAAAGGGGAAAATCTCTCCTAAGTTCCAAAACTGCAAAAGCATTTATGTTAGAGGAGATTTGCTTATAAACGTCAGTTCTACAGCAACGATACTACTTGCATCCCCGTAGGCCTACATGTCGCTTGGTTTTATTTTATGTCGCTGTTACCAAACAAGAACAACTGGTATAATCCCAAGGTCTCCATCAAAGAGTTTTTAGTGATTTAAAAAAATATATTTTCATCTCTCTCTCTTCACTGTCAGCCCTGCTGATCCCCCAAGTACCACCTTCTAGCAGTTGAGCCAAGGCTCTGTTTGCTCAGTTACCAATAATTCAGCTACTGAGAGTTACGGAGGAGCCTGCACCCTCTCCGGGGAGGCTGGACCTGCCAGGTTCGTCCCCCTGTGCCGACAGAGGGCAATGGCACACCGAAACCTGCACTGCTGGGTGATACCCAACCGCCTGGGCTTTGCAAGGGGAAGTCACTCATCCACAGAGAAATCAGGTGCTCTCCGCTGTCACAAGCTCACGTCACCTCCTGAAAAAATTAAAAATGTACAAAAAGGCCTACGAAATAAGGGGAAACCGTTCACCTGCCTGCGGATTTTAACCTCACAATCTGTAACAGAAGCACACAGGCTGAGGAAGAATTCGCCAGCGCTGCCAGCAGATGGGGTCCTCAGGATTGAGCCCGCACCCTCTTGCGAGAGCGCTTCTACGGCGGCAGCGAGCAGAACTCCCGAGTGAAAGGTGTAGACCGCACCAGATCACAATGGTTTTTAAGGCAGGCAGAAGTTGAGGCACGAGCCTTTCCCCTTCAGAGGGACCGACTCGCACCCGGCCGCTTACGGGAGAAACGGGCAGCGCCAAGAGGGCGGCCGCGCTGCCGGACACCTCGCTGCGGCGAAGTGAATACATCTGCACAATTCTCTCTCCTTGGCCTTAAGCCTAGTGTTTGACTGGAACATATGACATCAATCACTGATTTTAGAGTCTACAGTGCTTTCCCTCCCCGCCGCTTCTGCCAGGGTATCGGTGCGGATGCACCCAGCCAGCCACAGTCCTGTCATTATTACACACACACACCCCTTTAAATTCTTTAAAGAACAACAATTTTTTCTTTAAAGAACATCAAGAAAGAGGTAACAAAATAGCCACTTCAGTACGATGGGAAAAAAAAAAAAAATTCTCTACCAGTATTCTTTCCCACAAACTATAGTCTAAATTAGCCCTGAATCCGCTAGCATAATTATGCTGCTGAAGACACATACCCTTATTATTACCCATATGAATACTTTTATTCAAAACACTGTACTCTCTTTCAGCTTATGTTGTTTTAACAGTTTTTCAGATGATAGAAGCATTGATATGTTTAGATAAATACCAATTTCAAACTACTACCGTCTGAATTTTTAGTGTCTCATTTTAGTAACACCAAAAATTGCAATAATTATTCTTCCTTTTCTGTTTTTGAAACCAATGATGACACTGCTCACATCATCTCTTTTTTTTCCAGTAAAGCTATCTCTTAAATTATTTGTCCTGAATAATCTCTTAAATTATTTGTCCTGAATAATCTCTTAACGCAAAATAAACTTGGAAACAGTAAAAGAGAACAGAATAGCAAAAGCCAGACTGCTTAGCGAACACCATCATAATACTGTTTTGCAGCATTTAATTTTAAAAGTTATTCTTGATATGATCCATCATGAAACACCAGTACTAGAAAGCTAGCAAAATTATGCAAGTCAAATATTTCGCTGTTGATCAAATTTATACTCTGTTTTTTAATGATCTCATCAGCTCATATCCAGTGACATTTAAAGCAAAGTGTACCTGGAATTTCTCACCCCGGTTCATCTGCGTTGATCGAAATTCAGGAGAATCTATAAAGGCACAGGGGTAAATATTGTGCAGAAAATGTCCTCGATAAGACACCTTCATTCTGGAAATAAAAATGTATGAAACAACATTTTAAAGTTATGGAGGTTGATTAATTTAATCTAAATTTGGATATGATTACTGACAATGGTAAAACAGAAGGTAACAGGCAAAAATATGCTCATCTGGAATTTCAACCCCAGAGCTACCCTGCTTTCTGCCTAAACCTCCACTGATTCAAAGCAGAACAGACTGCCAGCCAATTCAAGTTGCTGAACGTGGTGTGTATCCTCAAAACATTGCTATTCAAAATTTAAAAAGTCTACAGAGCTACGCTACACAGCCAGACCAGAATCACACTTCCTTTCGATAACCAGCTTTGCAGTGATGAGCAGCTAATGACTTCAAAGGAAAACGAGGAAGCCTGACGTGTCTGTTGCTATAATCAGAAATTGGTTAAAATATTGGCCAGAACTTAGCAAGATTACAGCCTGGCCATGGGCATTTATTTTACCCTTTCCCACCTGGGTTCTGTCAGCCTCTGGGCAATGCACCTGCCCCCCTCCACTTGCACATACATGTGCAATTAATCAATTCCAATAGGCCTGCTGTTTTAAAGTCTGCTGCAGGGATATTTTCTCCTTCTCTCATGCACATGATTTTTTAACCTTTGAACCTGAGAATGCATGGAGAAGATAACTTAGATATCTAAGACTCAAACAAATCTCTTGCTTGTTCTGGAAGACACTGGCTTTGGCATACAAATATAATTCCTACTAAAATCCATACAGCTGCAAACACAAGTGGAGACATAATAAGCTCCCAGTAAGAGACATCATTGTGAACAGTGTCACAAAATAGTCTATACCTATCGACTATGCACCATAACATGTTACAAACAATAATATTTTAAAAGCTAACAAAACCCCCAACAACTTTCTAATCTATTCAACCATCACACAAAGCATAAGATTGTCCCCAAGTTTTCTAGTACCTACTTCCCCTTCAGCAGGATGCTTAGCCTATCATCAACTGAAGTTTTATCTTCTGCAGCATAGGCTTGGCCTGACTTTAAAGTCTGGATGTTGCAGAATTGTCCAGTTAGTCTTTGGAAGAGCTCTGGAGGCACATGGAGAGGTTCAAACATTCTCCTGTAGAGGCTACTAAGCTCCTTCTCTATCTTGATCTAGAATGCAAAACCAAAAGACATCAATAACCACAAATGAATTAGTTAAAAAAAAGTAAGGCTGCATGCATGCTTCAGTTGGTCTGTTTGAGGAACATCTTTGCTATGTTTGGGCAAGGAAAGAAGTGGTCAACGTGTGACATCTGTCCACAAACACTGCCTAGGACAGGATGACCAAAACCTTATCTAAAATTAGCCAGGCTGGCACAGCGGCAGTTTAGAACGCCATTCCATCCAAGTGGCACATTAAATCAGACACAAGCAGTCTTTTGAGACTTCTGTTATCTAACAGTGAATAGGACTTGGGCCGGAATTACACAGGAAAAAAAAAAAAAAAGCCACGAGGTTGCCTGCATTTTTCACACCACAGGCACACCTTGTTCAGGCCACCTCTTGGGCTCTCCTGGGAGCACCTTTCCTCCCTGAGATTCCTGGCTTACTTGCAGTAGAAAAGCAAGTCTTGAAAAACAAACCCATCATATTGAAACCATGGGTAATGAGGGAGGAAAAAAAGCCACAACATTGCCAGCTGCACATCCCACATCTAGGAGCCCACCCAAACTCAGGCAGCAGCAATAAGGGAAAGGATGTTGGCTGAAATCCCAAGCCTGGAACTCTTTCCTGAATGAAGGCAGCAGGGAATGAGACAGTGCTCCAGCCTCCCTGAAAGCAAAGGCAGCCTGAACAAAGCCTGCATATTTGCTGGGAGGAAAACAAATTAGAACTATAAGCATCAGATAATGAAAAGCGAAAATATACATAGAACAGAGAATAAGGAAAAGCAACCAAGAAAAAGTCAGGAAAGAGGGAAAAGAGTCACCACTTCCAATGAGAATATTAAAAGTTTGCACTATTTTCTAGATTTTTTTGGTATTTCAGTATTAAACACAGGGGAGGAGAGAAGGCAGAACTACATGTGTGTGAAACAGTAAACCACGCATAATGAAAAATTTTTGGAAAATTGAGGTTTCCTTGTTACATTTCAAGTTTATTTAAACACAGAACAAATTGAGGTGAGGTAGAAACTTTCTAGATGTGTGGAACTATATTTGGAGTATTTCACAGCCAACCTTAATCACTGGATATGGCCCATCCCACCTACGAGCCAGTGAACGCTGTGGGAATCACTCTGGAAGTGACAATCCCATGGGCAGAGGTGGTGGGTTAATCCCACAGTAACAGCATACAGTTCATTATTAAACTCCTAAACAGGAGAGATAAGGCTGCTCATGTGAGCTTGCTGTTAAGATTTTGTGACTTCTCAGCCTTTAAATTTCCACAAAAGCTCAACAAAATGATATCCCAAGCCTGCAGACTTCACTTTCTACCCAGATGACAGCTTCAAACCATAAAAAGGGAAAGCAAGTTCATGAACCACTGAGATTTTTATGCAGCCTCCATGTGAAACACACACAAATACCTGTTTCCTAGGGCTTAGCATGTAAAATTCCTGTGAGCATTCCTAAAAACTTTTTTTCTTACACATAGCTGAATTTACTGTTAACTTTGTGTAGAGCATCTGTGTGCATTTACCACCCACAACTGTATTAAAGCGTTCAGTCTGTGTGATTTTTTGATCTGTCCATACATGAGCCTCTCAACCTTCTGACCTATCAACCACTCCTCCCAGCTTCGTGTCATCAGGGCACACTCTGCCTCACCATCCAGATCACTGACAACGTCAAACAGGACTGGTCCTAGCACTGACCCCTAGATTACACTGCTAGTGTACACACCACACACTAACTAGACTTCCTACCACACTCAGCCCAGCCATTCAGCCAGATTTCAATCCATCTCACTGTACCCCCATCCCGTCCATACTTCAACAGCTTCTCTATGAGGGTTTTATGGGAGGTAGCGTTGAAAGCCTTACTGAAATTAAGGTAGACAATATTCACTACTCTCATCTATCTGGCCAATCATTTCATCGTAGGACTTTATCAGGTTGGTTAAGCGTGACCTCCCCTTGGTGAATCCATGCTGACCACCCCCGATCACCTTCTTGTCCTTCATATGCATAGCAATGGTTTCCAGGAATAGCTATTCCACCACCTTCTCAGGGATCAAGGTGAGGCTGACCAGCCTGCAGGTCCGTGGGTCCTCCTCCTTGCTCTGTTTGAAGAAAAGAGTGGCATTTGCTTTCCTCCACTCCTCAGGCACTTCTCCTTGTCACCACAGTTTTTCAGAGATTATCCAGAGTGGCCTCACAGTGACATCAGCACTCAGGGGTGCATGCCACCAGGGCTCACGGACTTACGTACGTCCAGAATGGCACCTGACCTGAAGTTACACTGGTTTCACACTGAATCAATTAGTAATTAAATCTTCTACCAGTGACTACATTTATATGAAACCGAGGTTTTGGATTTCCTGTATGTTCCTTATGCCAATCCTTAGCACCGCAGAGGGCATCTACATGGACAAAGCAAGGATTAAATTTAAACTGGCAAATTAAATTGTATTGTGCCGGGGATTGGCCTGAACTGTTTGATTTCAAAATATGTTCCATATACCCATGAATTTAGATGACTACTTGTTTTGCTGACAGGGTCCCCAGGAACTCCTTTATTTTTAACAGCTGTACCAATTTAATTTGCACCTTCCTATACATGACTACTGCAACTCAAAGGAAGATAAATTACTTTCTCAGATGAACATATAAATAGCTCCCACGATTCCTGAATTCAAAACAAGGCATAGAGTCATGAGGACAGGATTTGGCCCCGTAGTGTTAATGCAATTCCTTAACTAGCACGTAATTCAAGTTTCATGATCTTCCTCTAATGTATAATACTTAAAAGAAAAAGCAGGCATAACCACTTCCTTAAAGATTGATGAGGTTGGACACCGTAAATATACTTTAGATGATCTCCCTCACAGCAGACTATTCACCCTGCATAAGTGCAGCTGACTGCTCCTCCAGTCATGCTTGTGGGTCATATTCCAAATGAGCCATACGGGTAGGTGTAATGTTTTGTTCAGCAGTGGCTGAAATATTCTGGGATGCTGCCAGAGCTCTGAGCCCTGTAGTCAAGACACTCTGTCTGTAGAGACACTGATTAGACTCAGCTTCCACTCAGACTAAAAAAGCCAAATCTGTAAAGCTCCAAGGAGTCAAACACACAGAAATAATCTTCTGGTCAGAATAGAAACTTGCTGCTATTTTGCATGCATCATTTAATAAAATAAATATTTAACAACTGAACATTTCAATTATTCATTTTGTAATATGACTAACTTGTAATTATCCTTTCATTCCCTTCTTTCCTTGAAAACATCATTTGTGAGGATCACTAAATAAAATTGATTTTGAGATGTGCAACAGTTGCAGACAGAAAAATCTCATTTGAGTTCCTAAGAATTATTTTTTTTCCCATTATCCAGTTCGTATAGGAAAAGCACTTAAAAACAGCCTTCAAGTTCATAGTAAACAGAACATGTAAGACAGCTAAAAAGACATAGGGGACTACCAGGCATCACTTCAAGTAAGCTTGTTGATCATAGTCTGTAACAAAGATTCATATATTGCTTTGGATATTATCCTGTTTCCATATTATTTCAGCTATTGTTTAAATCCACATAATTTTCTAAGTATAGAGTCCAGTTTTCAGAGAAGCTGAGTACCCACAGTTCCCATACCACACCCGCAGTGGTAGGAAAAAAATCTTTTGACAGCAAGACTCCAGTTCTCCACTGTGTTACAGTTTAGAACAGTCTGAACCAAGGTGAACTCTTTTCCTCATACTGCCAGAGCTCAGCAATGTAGCACATCTCACCTCTGACTACATAAAGCTCGGTTAGTAGTTTATAATGGCTGTGCAGGCTTGCTCTCTAGCCAGCAGAGAGGGATGGCACCATCGCATCTTCAACAGAGATTGGGTGGGTGGGTTGAATCACACTGGACAGCCAGCTTAAACTAGATGCTTAACTGGGAAATGGATGAAGTTAGACAAGATGATTCCAATTCCTGTTTCTTAAAGTAAAGCTACTGTTGCAGAAGTAGAGACCACACACAATTATTTGTACTCTGAGAGGGCTCTTAATTGTTACACTCCAGTATTAATACGCTTCCTCCCAGATGCCTTTAATTTCTGGGAGTGCCTGTGTCCTGAACAATGTAATATTTCAGGACAAGCATCAGAACGTGACTGAGACTACCTAAGGAAACAGTCAGTGCCTATGCACAGTATTTTATATTCTTCCTACATTTTACTGTTTCTATTTCCTGCATACTTCTGTCTTCAGAATGTAGTTCGACAGTGCAGAAGATGAAGGAAAAAAAGAGATCCAGTGAAGGCACCTGTGGTGGTGGTTTCATGATTTTACTTTGTTCTCTATCCAAAATTATAGAGAATGTCAAGATGTAGACATTCTCAAGATGTAGACATTCATTTTTGGAGTCAACAGAACTGACATTTGGTTTCAGGTGACTCTTCTGGTAGTAACTCCAGTCTCACCAGAAGGAGCATCTGGGAATGTTCACATGGAAGAACGTTCTGTTCAAGATCTGGAGTGTGGAGCTGTGGGGCATTAAGCTGAACTAAGTGCTGCAAGCTTTACCACCACAAAAAGGTATTTTGAAGGAGGACATCTACGCAGGTCAGGGTTAAATGACTATCTATGACCTGCATGCCAGAGAGGTTTTACCTGACCAAACAAGAAAGAGGAAACTTAAAATTCACCCATGTCAGTTTTGTTGTTCTCAGAATTGGTGGAAGACCATTTTTTGATCATGGTGGGATGCACAGAGTTAATATATACATGCAGGAAATTATTTTAAATACAGTTGACTTAAACAACTTCTTATCTGTCATGTGTTAATACAACCGTAAATACTTTCACTGTCCAAGACTGACTTTTCATTAGATCTTTCCAATGCTTTATTTTTAGTTTGAGAAATTTTTCTCATCCTTCCCTATGGAATAATACTATGTTTTGCCATGGACAGAGAGAAAAAGCTACAGTACAGAAATTCATATAGGGACAAAAGTGAAATGGATAGTTTTATGTTTACTGTAGTCTGATATACACGTTAGCTTAAAGCACAAATCCCAGGTCACAATCCGATACAGTGACAGGAGTCATGCAGAGACCTAGACAGATTGGAGCATAAAATGAAAATACTCCAAAACCACCACCACAAAGACTATCTAAACATCGCTGGACTCCTGTACAAGCCCAGGGAAGTCCCCGATGATGTTATATCCAAGCAAGGACACAGTCTCGCACGGGCAAACAGCATGGCAGGCACTGCACGCCGGTGGATGCCGGACCTGTTAGCTTGCCTCCTAGCAGGTATCCAGCTGTGCAAGCAATCCTTCAGTGTTCTAGCACAGGATCAAGCAGCACAGCCTGGTTGTGGCTAATCCACCCCCGAGGTGTGAGTGGTTGGAGCCCAAGCTTGCTGTCTCCAAGAGCAGGGGGAACCCCGGCCCCCTCAGAAGCCCTGCGCTCCTCGGCTTCGTTCCGCAGCCGGAGGCGGCGGCGGGTGGCTGGCTGAACAGTTGCCACACCACAGATCCAGCGGGGTGCAAACAACTGCTTGGTGTTCCCATCAGGACATGGCAAGTATTTAGGTAAGCTCTAACAAGAGCCAGATACTAAACTTCTTTATGGTGGACTTACTCCGCGGAATAGAAAAAAAAACATCCAGGTTTAGGTTTCTCATCGTGTCCCACCCAAAGCTGTTATGCAACTTAACTATTATTCACCCTTAGAAGTTCTGCCCAAATTATGTGCCTTGAATAAAAGTTCTAAAGGGAAAAAAGAAAAAATTATTGTACAGTAAGTTTCCTTTCAGGTATTTTTGGAAAAAAAAAAAAAAATCATCTTTCTGTATCATCTCGTTGTTGATTAGTGAGCAGAGAAGTAAACCTGAAAAGGAACTAGTATTAAGGTGTGTAGGGGGAGCATTTTAAGAAAGAACAAAACCCCCCAATCTGATTTAAAAATAATTAATGAAAATGTTATGTATTGTACCAATTAACATAGTATATTTTTCATGTAATGTTCGTAAGCACTGTAATTTCTTAAAAAATTAATTGAAAGAAAATGACAGGAATTATTTTAAGTCTTAATATACAAAGAAACGCCACTACATAGCTAGTCTATCAGAACTAATTCTTGGCTAAACTTTAAGTTGTAAAGGTCATGTAGCCCTGCAGATGGTAACCTTTGGGTGAACCTGTGCTCCATACTGGAGGAACACCGCTGTAGGTAGAACCCTTCCTTTGTTAACACATGTAAGTAGATGTACTCAATTTATCAACTTGTTGTAGACAGATGCAATTTAACCTTTAACCTCTTTATTTGCTGTGTTTGCCTATCGGAGTTTGCTCTGCAGTTGTTTTTAGCCATATTTGTAAAGATTCCAGCCTTTCTACAATCTCTCATTTCCTTTAAATGCTGCTTCAGTTGACAGCTTGCTCTGGCTCTACTTAAGCTGAAATCCTTAACTTGCAGAGCATTTTAAAAGATGTCCACCAAAGTCAGTTTTCCTACGTTTCTTCCAATGTTCTCTGCCTCAAATTCTAGTTTATTCTATATAAAAACAGCCACAGTTTTGCACCACCTGTATGGTGCACAGTCTACAGGAGTGCCAAGCACCCCGATTCTGCTGTGGCTACATCACAGCCAGTGGGGAAGGGCTACAGAAATGGAGAGCAACGTTAACGGCACGTCCTCCATTCCTTTCTCTCTTAGAGGCAGTTTTCTACCAACTTTGGCAGCTGACAGTTTATCAGTCAAGCTTCTTGTCCTTGCAGAATTCCTTTTTAAAATCCACCTGTAGAGTACTTCTACCATTTATCCTAACTCCTACAAATAATTCTGCTAACAAATTTATTAGAGAATTTAGTGAAAATAGCTGGCACTTCAACAGGATGAAGTCTATACCATAACGCACAAAAAAAAACCCCCAGCCAATGCAAACATGGCTTTTAGTATACAACTGTAATCAGAAAAGTGGTTTTCTTTTTTCATTCAGAATTGATTTACACATTGTAAAGTGACTTTTTTTTTTTTTTTTTGACTCAAGCACAAAACAGCACATCCTCTTATCAAGATGCTCCCTCACTCTCCAATAACCTTTTATTTAGATTTTTGGAAAGGGTTGGATGGGTACGAACACAAGGACCATTACTCATGTTCTGAGGACACATGCCACAACTCACTTCTAAAAATACAGATAAGTTTTATGGCTTGGCTTTCTAGGGAAATGAGTTTATATCAGCTGTACGCTCCTACCTTTTGCAGTAATTTCTGACTTTGTTAGCCAAGTCCTGTCCCATCTGAAAAGGGACTAGAGGCCTCCAGCTGACATTAAAAGGCTCAAATGGTGAGTCGGTTGAGGGGAAGCAGAACATGCTACCTTGGTGGCTTCGCTGAAGGAAAAGAATGCAACACGGGCTCATCCCGTATTAAAAGCCAGAGCACCTGCATAAGATATCTAACTGCAGACACAAACATGTAGAGTCTGGCTTCACTGGCTCTACGTGATCATAACTGCTGTTCTGTGCAGTGCAGTGGACAGCACAGCCGTGGCTGACCAGCAGAAATAAGGTGCAGTTTCACCATTGCTGCTGTGTCTTTATGGTGACATACATGGATTGGATAGGCTGAAATAATAGCACTAGCAGTACAAGCTAAAGAGGAACTTACCCTTTAACTGGGAAGATTACTCTCCAAAAATAATTTAAATGACTAGAAATATTTACTACCCATCTATATATGTCTAGTAGTTGATCAGTCTAACTAGTTTTAAGTTATCTTCTAGGCAAGACAGAACTCAAACTTTATGCTGCCTTGCCAGGAAAGGAGGAGGTTGCTAAATTCCTGTTTGCTTTCTTGCACAGGCTGTGTTGACTTGGTGAAGAGGTTATTTCCATCTAGAGTTTGTTTGTTGGTGTGGTTTTTTTTTTTGTTTTGGTTTGGTTATTTTTTTTTTTTTGGTACCAGTTGTTACACACTTCCAGAATGTGTCTGATTTTGGGCCAAAGCAGAGTAACCCCATATATATTCCTGTAATCTTCACATTATAAATCTATCTGCCTTGGATTTTGGAGACTATGGAATGTAATATTAACATCTGAACACTTAGCACTTCATTAATATTTAATCGGAACATAACAGCAACTATTATATTAAAGATTATCTAGTTTTGATGTGCGAATACCAAGAGAATGCTGGGTTGCTAATCATTTTGCAGAAACAGAATATACTTCTAGATGAATAATACTAACAGAATAAATTGATTTTTTAATCGGATATACATTTAGCTGAAGGCAGGGTAAAGAATCCTGCATTTTTTGGTATGACTTCAAATATATTCTGAGTGCATTTGAAAAAAAGTTATCCCAATGCATCCTTCTGAAGGCCAAAAAAGGAGTTGCGAAATTCCCAGACGTGACCCTCAAAGCTCAATCAGTGCACTAAATGGGATAAAAGGAAGGTTCACCTAACTTAATACTGCTTTTCCCACACCTTACTCAATTTTGCTGCTTATCTCCAAGTCCCACAGATGTTCAAACAGGGTAGTAGCATCTCACTTACCTTTCATTTGCATTTAAAAGAAATGTAGCAGTAAAAAACATACAGGCTAAAGCACTTGCCAGCAAAGCAAAGAGTGGGAAGGTCATTTATAAAAGGACATAAGGATTTGTTCTTATGTTGAAATAACAGCCTAGCAGGGAACTTGTCATTTATCAGTCTCCTTTCCCACCACAGAGGATGATCAAGACTTAAAAGTGAGGTAGGAAAGTTTGATCCCTCCTGAACTCCTAATTTAAAAAAAAAATACCGTCCTGGAATGCTCAATTTTAAGTACCTTTGTAGGATTTTATTTCAGGAGGTCTGTATGCAGGTACTGTTATTGGTGGGGAAAATGACAGAAAAAAACCCACCCAAACACACACAAACCCCATAATACCATTTCTGGTCTCTGCAAAGAAACAATGTAACCCCTTCCTTACCACCAAACCCAAACACAACGACCAAAACCAGCCAATAGTAACTTTTAAAGTAAAATAATTTTTCAAAAATATGGATTTTAGGGAAATAATGTACTGCATCAGATCATACTTACGGTCTGTCTCCTTCCTGAAGTAACTAACTGACTTCGTCCAAAAGAACTCCTGTCTAATTAAAGCACTGCTGTGTTATTCCTTGTTTTGTCCAACAAACATTGGCAAAACTTCCTTTTTCTTGCACCTTACTAGACTGTTTGTTCAATTTAGCTGTTAATACATACCGGTCGTCTTTTATACACTAGGTATATGAAATGTAAAAGGTTGACAACCAAAAACACAGAATTCCAAATCATTATGTCCAAGGCACAGCGGTAGAGTGTAGCCCAAATGATGAACAATGCACATCCTGTAAAAATTGAAAAAAAAAAGGAAATTAAAATTCACTGAACAATAAACACATTCGTACAAAGTCATCAAGAATGTGTCTACTGGGTGTAATTACACTGAAAAGCAGTGTATTCTACAAGCTCTAATACTGTTAGGCTCTGTGGATCAATGCATGCACTGGCAGCAGAGTTAATCACTATAAACAGGCACTGAGAGCAGGCTGACAGCAGGCTGCAGTCCTATCGCATGGGACTGTAATACGGGAGCAGCAGCAATTCAGAACAGGACTGGGGAAATCAGAAAGGTGCAGCCCATGATGGTCTGTTACTAAAATGAAGTAGAAATGGGATGGCGAAAGATCGTATCTCAAGAACACATAAAGTAGCTCAAAAAATGTACTACTATTGCATTAATTAGACAAAAAAAAAGCCTAAAAACCAATCTCCTGAAGTCATACAGTTTTGTTTTTTTTTTTTAAATTTAAAGGAAGCATCATTGCTGCATTTTGACCAGGTCACAGCAGGAACTTGAATTCTCTTCTGTGACAAAGAGAAAATTTCAAATGCTTACTCTTTGTAGTTGTAGTTTACCCTGCCTTCTCTTTTAAAGCAACTGTCATTATTCACTCTGTATTCAAATTTCAAATGCTTACTCTTTGTAGTTGCTTTACCTTGCCTTCTCTTTTAAAGCAATTGTCATTATTCACTCTGTATGATTAGGGATACTATTTTTAGCCTACAAATACAATACTTATCAAATGATAGATTATGTGTCAGTGAGTCTCTCCTAGACAGCTGTGAACTTACCATCTGATAGAGATGGCTGTAGAGGTCACACATACAATTTCCCTTAAGTTTCAGGCAAAGGCAACAAGAAGGTGCCAAACCAGTGTCCCTTTCCACACAATGCTGAATTAATGTACTCAGTATTACCACCTACTCTGTCTGGGTTGCCGAGTGGCCAGGCAGCACTTAGGTACAGATCAGAAAAATCACAGTGTGATGACTCTTGATCAGCTGGTTAATTAGAATGCAAGGGATGGGAGGATACAAGGGCTGGAAGTATTGAATAGGAGCAATATTGTGGAGCAGCACAGAGGTGGGGCAGGGTCAAAGCAAAGGGGACAGATCCCTAGGACCCAGGCTTCATTACTTCTGCTGCACACAGACTAAATTTGCTTCCAGCTGCCACCGCAGCCTGAAAAACTGATTCCCTATCTCTTCACAACTCAACAAGACCTACAGACCAAAGTGGCAGGCTCGGCAAGTGCAGAGCTCCCATTGCTTTTAAAGCAAGAACTACACAGACAAAAAGCCTTGCAATGCTCAGACCCCTGGTCCTCAGTGCACTCTCTTTTGATAAGTTTTCCTAGAATAGCTATAAAAAAGAAAACGCAAGACCATTGTAAATTCAACCATAGAAGTTATAAAATGTAACAGTATGGGTCAGTTCTATGTTGTGATATACCCAGGTCTATCTTTCTTACACTGCAATAACAACTCACTACTCCTTCTCCTTTGATCACACAGACTTTGCCCCACACAAAGGACTGGGGCTCTGAAATAACTGTGGGACTGCAATAATATTACAAATGAAGCCATGTTTGCTTAGTCTCAAGCACGCCATCTTTTTTTTTTAAAGTAAAATTCTGATATCACAAGATCCCTGCAGTGGTGGAGGAAATACGACTGACTTCAGGAGAACACAGACTGCATTCCATATCGAAAGCCCATGCTTCTAAATCAGCAATGAAATCAACACGGGTGATCCACAAACGCCACGCATTTGAACCCACATTTAAGGAATAGGTGGGGTGACATCAAGCCTCAAGGAAAACCTTACCTATCGCAGACATAACAGTCAATGTACTCACTTGACATCTAAAAGTAAAGTCTGTGGATCCTTGCGACCTAACTCTGATTTGGAATTTGATGAACTTTAAGCAGCCAATCATGTCTGAAGAACATGCGGTCCACCTGTTTTCTAGTTGACATCTACACAGGTTTGAAGATATAAGTTGTATTTCTGGGAAGTTTTAAGAGCCTACAGACATATAACTTTTACAGAAAAGGTGTCTCAGGGTCAGAACAGACCCTCACTTACACCAAAAACATCTTCAGAGTACAAGGACCATGAGTATGTACTGAAATTCCACTATAAGCTGAAGGGACCTGGAGAAAGCTCTGTAATGATCAAACTGCTATTTCTGTCACAGGAAGGTTGCAAATCTCCCCAGAATAATTCTCCTACCTATGGTGAGCAAGCCTCGCAGAAAAATCATATGAAGATTCAGAGTAGTTGGAATAACCAGTCCAGCTGCAAAGCAAATGTTTGCCACATGGAAAACAAGATGATGAATCTCCTTCCAGTTTTCACATGCAGTCTCATTGAAAGGCACAAGCGTGGCATTTTTTAAGTCTGGAATAAAACCTAGCGGAGTAACAGTGAGTGGGCTCGTTGCTGTAGTATTCATCTTGGAGACTCCTGCAATGAGAGAGAGGGGAAAAAAATAAAAATTACTGTGCATTAAACTGAAATACATTAGACATACTGTGGTAGGTTGACCTTGGCTGGACACCAGGTGCCCACCAAAGCTGCTCTATCACTCTCTTCCTCAGCTGCACAGGGGAGAGAAAATTTAATGAAAGGCTCGTGGGTCAAGATAATGACATGGAAATCACTCAGCAGTTACTATCGCAGGCAAAACAGACTCATCTTGGGGAAATTAGTTTGATAATGAGAAATAAAATCAAATCTTAAGAACACCCTCACAGCCACCTCTCCTTTCTTCCCAGGCTCAACTTCACTCCAGATTTCTCTACCTCCTCCCCACCAGCAGCACAGGAGGATGGGGAGTGGGGGGCTGTGGTCAGTTCATCACCCGCTGTCTCTGCTGCTCCTTCCCCCTCAGGGGCAGGACTCCTCACACTCTTCCCTTGCTCCAGCGTGGGCTCCCTCCCACGGGAGACAGTCCTCCCACGGGCTGCAGTTTTTCACAAACTGCTCCAGCGTGGGTCCCCCACGGGTTCACATGTCCTGCCAGCAAACCTGCTTCAGAGTGGGCTCCTCTCTCTCTCCAAAGGTCCTTTCAGGAGCCTGCTCCAGAGTGGGCTTCCCACGGGGTCACAGCCTCCTTCGGGCATTCACTTGCTCCTGTGTGGGGTCCTTCATGGGCTGCAGGTGGGGATCTGCTCCACCCTGGACCTCCCTGGGCTGCAGGGGCACAGCCTGCCCCACCGTGGGCTTCCCCACGGGCTGCAGGGGAATCTCTGCTCTGGTGCCTGGAGCACCTCCTCCTCCTCCTCCTCCTTCACCGACCTTGGTGTCTGCAGGGCTGTTTCTCTCATATGTTCTCACTCCTGTCTTCAGCTGAAGTTGCTGGTGTTCTGCAGGGTTTTTTTTTTTTTCCCCTCCTTCTTAAAGATGTTATCCCATAGGTGCTACCACCGTCACTGATGGGCTCAGCCTTGGCCAGCAGCATCTTGGGGCTGGCTGGTGTCAGCTTTGTCAGGCACGGGGGAAGCTTCTAGCAGCTTCTCACAGAAGCCACCCCTGCAGCCCCCCTGCTACCAAAACCTTGCCACACAAACCCAGTACAAATAGATTTTGGGTTACTTTCGCTCTTCCCATGATATAAATTTCCACTATCATTCAGGAGAGAAAAAAACAAATCTACAAACGCTTTAAAAGGGAAAGCTAGATCTATAGTTCAGTAATGCTTTAGTATCTCTTTCACCTAAGTGCTACGCTTGAAGAATGGTACATTTCAAAATCTGGATGGTATGGACATAAACACTGCCTGAATGCTAGCTCCTATGACTATCATTGCCCAGTACAACATCCTATGGATTCTTCTTAGTCTTACAGAAATAAAAAAAAAAAAAAAAAAAAAAAAAAAAAAAACACACAAGAAACAAACAAACGAAAAAAAAAAAAAAACAAACAAAAACAAAACAAAAACCAAAACAAAACAAAAAAAAAATCAACACATTTTGGTCTACCACTTATTGAGTAGGTTCACAGCCTTAGGCAAAGTAAATATTTCAGACAAATTAACAACCTAGATGAGAACTGAAAGAAAGAAAAGAGGCTTATGTCGTGTAAGTCTCCTTTCTGGCATACAAAGCTGTTCTTCTAAATAAGGAATGGAAGGTCTTAAAGGAGGAACACGTGCTGTTAGGTTAATTAAAAAAAAAAAAGCCAACAAACCATACAAAAACAGAACCAAAGAGTCTCAACTTCTGGCTGTCTTGCAGGATCATTTGAAGGTCTCCTAGACCATATGTCATCTTGCGCACATTAACCAGAGTAGGAAAAAAACCCCAAATCACTGTGAGAAGATCAAATAAAAACTACCATTTCTCTTAGTCTACCTCGAATAAGAAAATTTGCCTGTGGAACTACTGGAGAAAATGAGTTAAAAAAAAAAAAAAGCTGACTTCTAATCTAAAAATACCTAGGGGTTTTTTGTTGCTGTTTTAGTAATAACTCTAGCATATTTTCCTTTCACACCAATTCAAGGCGGGGGAAGATATCTGTGAGGAAATATCTTCCCAATACAAAGTAAAAAAAAAAAAAAAAAAAATCTGACTAAAAACTAACTATGAAGATAAACTGGAAGATTTCAAGACACTACCTTTAAAATCTTAAAAGCTGGTCTCTCTAGGGAACTGCAGTCAGTGTTGCAAGCGCTCCAGAAGGTCTTCTCAATACAGAGCAGTTTCCAGCTGGAAGAACACGACTGCTCCTACACGGGCTGTCAGAAATACAGGAGAACTCTGCTCCCAGTAAAGCACGTATGGTCCCCTGCTGCCACATCAGGAGAGATTCTACGGAGCTTGGCTTGAGTCTCGTTAATGAAATACACGCACGTATCACTGGGCAAACAGGCTCCATAACATGCAACACGGTGGGATTTGCACTCCAACAAATTCTGTGGAGACAGCGCACGTCCCTGATGTGTGTGCTCACCAACTGTCATGTAATTCATCTGCTCAGCAGACAATTCTGAGTCACAGTTAATGCACTCAAAATTTCCTGCAGCCTGGAATACACTCAGCATCTCTCTTACTTGAGAGTGATTCTTGGGCTGCAAAGTAATTTTGAGTTGCCTCATCCATTCTTTTTATTATTTTCCCCCCCAATCAACTTCTGTACAAGGTATAAGCAAACTGGACATTTTCTGAAATTAATCAGTCCTTAAAATCCCTTTTTAAAGGAGTGGGAAGAAATAAATCCTCAACCCTCTGATAGCTCCTCCCTGATGCCCAGAGCCTGTCACAGCTAAGGCATGCTACAGAACACGCAGAGGCATCTTGCAGGATCAAACACTGGCATGAACATAATGCACACAGTCTCTGGACAGAAATTATTTTCAAAGGCAAAAAATATATCTAATTTTCAACAAAATAGGTAGTTTACATTTCTTCTCTTAAGAGCTCACTTCCCTCTTTTCATCCCTACATTAGTTTTCCACAAGCGCTAACTAAAATGAGGTTTCTGGCGTAAACAAGTTGTTAACAATAATTGTTACCAATAATCACCGTCCCCAAACAAATTAATGGTCCAGGCATCATACAGACACCAGCCAAAGACGCTCCTATTTTCCTTCAAGCTCTTTCACCTGAGTTTAGTGACAAGAGCCACGAGAGCCATTTCACTGTCCTGACAAAGCTGCTCACACAGAGCCGAAGCAGGAGCCCGCAGGAGGCTGCTGGACTGGCATTTTAATGTGCTCATAAACAGAGGGTAATTGCTAACTCCGGGTAACTGTGTTTGTGCTTGTCTTACACACACCTCCTCATCATGCTCCTGTTGGTTTTGAACAAGATAAACTCCCTACGCTCGAACAGCAGCATCTCTAGATCTTTTGCAAAGAGTTATCAGCCGAGTTTCTATCTACACTCAGTCCTTCACTTGTCATCTGCCAATAAAAGCACCGCTCACTTCACGTGCCAACAGAACGAGTAAAGATAACCAAAGTGCAGATACAGAACCAGCCATAGATCCATCAACTCAAGATCCAAACAGGCTGCACGAAGTAACTTCAGCCACATCCGATTACAAACCGACAAAGCTTTCCAGATGCCTGATTTTAATAGCAAAACTTTGTGCTGTGTCCCTGGAAGAATAGAGACTGCCTTACTCTGAGACTTGTCTGTAAAGCATCACACGCTGGAAGACTGGGAGCCCAATGAGCCAAACGAACTATACAGCAGGTGACAATCTCCTCCTCCCCACAGGAGTTGGCCAAGCCATTGAAAGCCGTAAAGGGTCCTGATGCCACAACCCACCAGCCATAAATTGCCTAAATGGGAAGATGTTTCTCCAACAAGAGTTGGCCAAGCCATTGAAAGCCATAAAGGGTCCACGGTTGTAACAAGAGGATGTTCAACGCTTCTGAAAGCCTGGGACACCTATCCGGTTGCCTAAATTAGAACCCTGGAACCTAAATCTAGTCATCTCCATATTTGTTATAAGCTTTAATACCTTTAAGTCGTACGTGAATGCATTTGAACTTAACTTACTACTCAAACAGACATCGCAGCACCACTAACATGCTGGAAAACAGCAGAAAGCTGCAGAACAACTCTGTCACGATGGTATTTGAAAACTGGCAGAAATAGATTGATGCTATCTGCAAAATGACACAAGGACAGACTGTGACGCTGACTCTGAAGGAGAGCTGCCCCTGAATTTCAGCTAGGGAGCTGGCTTGAGAATCAACAAAAAAGGCAGGTTACAGCTTGTAACTCTGCCTGCCTGCCTAGAATGTTTGCTCACAGGTAACACCCGAAAGACAAATATCCAAAATAACATCTTTGTAATTTTCAGATCAATTCCGTAGTCCTAACATCTCCTGTTGTCAAATAACACTGAAGAATTAGAAAAGCAATCTGTTGTTCAGAAGAGAAACAAGCAAGTGTCATTTCCTACCCTCTGCTAGCTCAGAGAGTCAAAAGTTAATTCTGTAAGCACAGAATCAGGCCTTTAAATTTTTAATTTAGGGCTATGTCTACTAAGGATTAATACAGCACAAAACTTTGAAGTCTTATGCTTAAGTCTTCAATACATGAAGACATGTAGCAACATCAAGAGTTAAATATACAACCAACATAGTCAGATAATTTGGGAAAAATGGGGGAGATATTGCCAACCAAAATGAAAGCTGTATGGAGCATAAGACAAATAATTTAAAAAATACTTTTTAATACCCAGCAATTTTTTCAACATATGGATTTAGATTAACCAAGCTAAGAGTTTGAAAAACAAAACAAAAACTCAGCTGACTGAAAACTCCACAGCCAATTTGTTGTCCAAACACACACAAAAAAAGAGAAAACAACTATAAAAAAACCCCAGTCAGTGACATTTTAATAGTAAGTATATCAGAAATTAGTATATTTAACAATAAAGCCTATTAATTTTTTTTGTGCGTGAACCTGACACAGACTTAAGACATTATGGTTTTCGATCTGAAAATACAAATTCTCAGAACGCAGATGAGGTGAGCTTACTCTAGGATTTTTCTATGCTCAGGACATCGTCATACAAGAGGCCAAACTTCTGAAAGCCATTCCCCAAAGTATTTAGTCCCTCAATCTTCAGACACAAAGATGCCTTTAAAACAAATGGAGGTTATATGAATGTTGTGCAGGTATCCATAAAAGACAGAGCAGAAAAGTTTAAAGCAGTTGGTTCTAGTAGGAGTAGGAGCCCAGCTGAGACGGGACAGCGCAGTGTCCCATCCCATCGTCATCCACTTTATTGAGATTATTTGTATCGCACAGTTTTACTGTCAACATTATTCAAGTGAGCTTCTTAAAGCTTTGCTTGACTACATTTGTATAACCTTGCAGTCATTGCAACTTTACAGCCCACCATTTACGTAGATAGATTTTGCGAGTCTAAAAAAATCGACAAGAATAAAATCAAGCTCAACATTTTTTTTTTTTTTAAATTATACCCACAGAACTTTAACTGCTTGCCTATGGTATTGTAGCAGAAAAGCCGCATAGATAATTTAAACAATCAATAACTTCTTTGCTTTTATGAGCAGAAGACAAGCTATTAGTGCTAGCATAATTGAGTTAATTACAGTTTAAGTTCGCAATTTCCTTTCTACAACGAAGTAGGAGTGAATGCAAAAGCGGTACAAGGAAAGATGCACTTCAATATGCTCTGTAGGGCAAGTTCACTTCCATTAAATGTGTCACTCGCTACTGACATTTGTTAGTCTCACTCTACACTTTATTCTAGAGAAAATTTAACATTTTCACTCCGCACAGTTCACGGAAATACCCGCACCGTGATAAATACTCTCACGTTACGCTCCACGTAACGGTGCCGCAGCTGTACCGCGGCAAGTTTGCTAACGGCGGCGGAGCTCGCGCTCCCTCCGCACCGCGCTGCCCACAGGCGCGCGCAAAACCCACGCAGGGGAACGCGGCCACGGCCGCCACCCCACGCGGCCACCGCCGCTGCGTTTTGGCCCGCAACGCGCGAACACCAAACCCACCGCTCCCACAAGAGAAATAACAACAGATATTTAAAAACACCGAGCAGCTCGCCCCCTCTCCCTCCCCCCCCCCCCCCCCCCCACAAGTGCCGTTCCGCGGGAAGGACACCCCGCGCAGCCCCCCGCTCGGGGCGGCGACCGCGGCGGGCAGGAGGCGCGCCCGCAGCCCCCGAAAAAGGGGGGACCTGCACCAGGACCCCCGGCCCCGAGGGGAGAGGGACCGGGCGACGCCGGCGGCAGCCGCCGCCCAGGTAAACCGGCGCACCCCCCCCCCCCCCCCCCCTCACCTGCCCCGTTCCCCGCCGTCGGAAAAAGTTCCCCGGACGGGCTCCCAGCGCCGCTCCCCCCTCGCCACTCCCGCCACCGCGGCCGCCGCCGTGACTAAAATAGGGAGAAGCGGGCGGGCGGCGGCGGGCGGCGCCAGCGCCGGGGCCGGCACCGAGCGGCCGCAGCGCGCAGGCGCCTCCGCCGGCCCCGGGGGGCCGCGGCGCGGCCGCCAGGGGGCGGTGCCGGGGCGGTGGGCGGGGCGAGGCGCGGAGGCGGGGCCTTTTTGGGGGTGGGGGGGGGGCGGGTTGTGCTGGTGCCCCGGCCTCCCCCCCGCTGACCCTCGCCTCCGCTCCCACCCAGTTTGAAGCCCGCCGGTGGGGAGCAGCGGCCCACGCAGGCGTCTAAAACGCGAGGGGGTGAATCACACACACACCCCTCCGCCACCCCCCCCCCGCAGAGGTTGGGGTTCGCCGTAGGGTGAGGCCGGAGCTGGGGCAACGCGCCTCGAATGTTGGGTGGTTAAAATAAGGAGAGCTGAGTTCTCGCCCCAAGCGAGCGACAAGCAGTATTTCCCCGACACGGCGAGCCAAGGGGCCCCCCCCGGCCTTCGCGAAACTGCTCCTCTCACCTCGGCGCCCGCTGGGGTTTGCTCTGCCGGGGGGAGCGCAGCAGTTGAGACCCGTCACCGATTTTGCTCGCGGGGCAGTTTGACGGCTCCCAGCGATGAGGTGCCTCCGAAGCGGGGGCCCTTGTGTCCCTGCTCTGCCGACGTCTTGTCGAGCCCCCTCCTGCACCGCCAGCCTTTCAGGGTGGGCAAAAGCCCCCCGGCGAGCCTGCCTTCGCCTCCAGGATGTCGATGTGCAGCACCCAGCGATGAAAGGCTCCCAGGTGCCGTCCACGGGCATCCCATCCCACCCCAAAGCCTGACTGCCAGTGACAAACAAGGACTGCAAAGGCAGAAAATCTCTTTCAATACAGTCTGATGGCCTAGCTACAAAGTGGGTTTTGCTGTTTTTTTGGTTTTGTTTTTTTTTTTTTTTCCCAGCAGCCAAGAGCATATGGTCAGCATTCTACTTAAATAATTTTGGAAAGAATACAGAATCCTGAATAATTTTTGAAGAAGACTGTTTATACATGTACACATCAACATATGTTCCAGGAGGCTCTGGTTTTGTTACGGTTGCTCTTGGCTTCACAACTTGGAGAAGAGATCTGGATCTTTCCAGAGATCTGTGCCATGTGAACAGCGTTTTTATGGATCCTGCTGCCTGGTATAAGGCCCGATTGTCCAAAGTATATTATGAATTCATTATGAAGGACTCGATTTGGGACTGTGTTTCCTCGGACTGGCCAGTCATTCCTGTGGATGTATTCGCTCTTTCTCAAGCTACGCAGAGTAAGTGAGCTGGAAAAAGAGTAGGAAGAGCGAGCCAGAATAGCATGGTCACAGGAACGGTCATGAGAGATAGCATCTAGCATGTGTTTTGAGATTGATAATATTCAGCTATGCTTGCTGGAGCAGAGCCAAGAAGCTTCCAAAAGCAGCACAAAGCAGCCTGTCAGAGAGCTCCTACCCAAATCGAGACTGACATGTAAGCATTTTCTAGCACGTTACTGAATGTTATGCATTGGAGAAACACAGTTTGTTGTACTAGTTGTGTCTTTTATAAGGTCTTTGTACTTCTCTCATTACCTTCCAGGTCTTCTCTGTTTTTGTGGGGAGCCTTGGTGGTAAACAGTATCTGTTCAGCCCAATGCAGAAAATCCTGGGTAGGAAAGCTTGGCAATGGGCTAATAATATTTGCAGCCATGTGAAGGTGTAGAACTTTGTCCCGATTGCAGCTGGTCTCCTGGGATCTTTATATTTCGGTATATTTGTGTTTAAATGTCATTTCTCCTGTGCAGCAGAGCGGCAAGAACCAAGGCTACGCGGTCAATGTAGGTGGTGGTATCTAGTACAGCTGTCTGCAGAAAGAGAGAAATGAGGGAGGATCTGAGAGCTGCCCCTATCTCCTGGCCCTCCGGGAGCACGGTGAGCAGATGAGGAGTGTAGACATGGCTCTGATGGGCTCTCGTGTTGTGCTGTGGGGTGCACTCGTGCATAGAAGAAAACCCTTCCTTTCTCTAAGAGAATGAGCAGCGTCAGTTTTGTATAGATAACAGCACGGCGTCCTATGCAGATATTAATGGCCATAATTTGACATAACCTTTAGCTACATAGATAGTATTAGATAACACAGGTAGCATTATCTGTAGTTATATGGATAACTTAAACGTTGCCTAAGTAGAATGCGTTAAGTAGAGTTTATTCTCTCAGACCAAGGTCTTGTACTGTAGGAGAATGGGCTGGTTTACTTAAATCAGTTTAATGTCCTACTGTTAAACCACTGTAAAGACTTAAAGAGTTGGGTTAACCTCCTATCTATGTCAATAAAGCACAAGTTCATTGAAGTCTGCTAACATAAATTAATCTGTCAGAGGCATGAAATAAAAACTGTTTGCGTCTACATTGATGAGGAGTTGGCTTCAAATAGATCAATTTTTAGAGATTGGTGCTGAATTGATGCATTTTGTTAGCGGAGACAAGTCTAGTGGTATTACAGCTGTTCACTGATGCAGGCTTTCTCTCTGCCATGTTTCCCTCTTTTGCTATTAAAGGCTTGATAGCTTAAGTACTTTCTCCAATTATTTATTCTCCACAGTAATGGTCCGCAGTAGAAGATGTCACACGGATGTTGCAAATTGCTCAGCCTCGTTCCTTATCTCCAGCGAGCTGCTCTGGGATCTTCCACGGTATACCCTAACCGCTTGGTGCCCGGCTGGCCTCCTCTCTCACGGGGGAAATAGGGCACGCCGACCGTGCCGGGGGACGTGGCTCCCTGGGGGGCTGCCAGCAGTTCGGGGGCACAGAGGAGACCAGAGCCCCCCTCTCCTGCCTCCCGATTTCAGCCTCGCTGGGCACCGAGAGACTTTATACAGCAGATGACAGAGTAACTTTTTGTAAAATTGCAAGCGCTCTGCCTCTTCCAAATGAGAGCCCGATTCCGCAGCCTTTTTTAGGCAAAGTGTTCACTAAAGAGAACAAGTGCTTTGTATTTGGGATCCCAGATGTGCCAGGCTGACAGGGCTATTTTCAGACAATGGCAAGATCTATGAAATGTTTCCATTTATAGTTTCAGGAAGTGTACTCAGCATCTACAGGCTAAAAGATGCCTACCCTAAACTGATCTTCTAAACTCCCTCTATAGACAATGCAAGGGGGGCTCTTTTACAACGTAATTAATCCTGTGTGTGTTTGACAGCTGTCTGGAGTGGGATGAAATACGCTGGCATAGTTAAGCAGTGCCATATTTCAGTGAGACAAATCCCATCCCAGATGCTGAAATTATGTGCCACAGAACTGAAAAATTACACGTATTTTCCATGGGAAAATTTATTTATTTATTTATTTGGGTTCTGCCTGAAAGAGTCCTCAAGAATTAAGTTTTATTAGAAGGAATTTTGTACGGGAGAGGCTGTGAGTGGTAAGTACTCTCTCAGCTCTTCAATATTCTGCAGGTTTCTTTAAGAGGAGTAAGTGCATTCTGGTGCATTTCTAACTCAGACCCTCCGACAGCCACTTTCTGATTTTTTTCATTTTTTTCCCATGCCACATCTGCAGGGAGGGTGTCTCCGGTTAATAGAAGAAGGGCTATCTTTTTCCTTGGATCCAAGATATAAAACATCATAACCCAGGGCTTCCAAGTGTCTGACTGATAGTATAGTAATTGATTGTTGCAAACTTAGAGCCGGCGGCCAAATTTCTTCTAAAATGATCTGTCACAGCATCCATTTTTTAACAGATGCACTGCTCATCATCGATGTTTATCCAAAGGCTCCATGATCCTGAGGTATAAGGGCAAAGTAAAATTGTTTGCTCTTAAAGTTATCTAAACTGTGCACAATAAGCAATTTATCCAATCACACTTAGCAATTATCCCTGTTCCCAAATTATGCGTGAGCAGTCTCCTGCTGACATTTTAATTTGTATGTTCATTATTTGAAATTGCTCAGTGAACAATTTCTATGAATATATGCAAGCCTACGAGCTGCTCACGAGTTATTTTCCTGAGACTGTTGCTGGAAGGGCCTGCTCTGCTTGCTCTAGCTCTACCTAAATCACACGGATCTCCCACTCCACCCCCCCAACCAAAAAAAAAAAAAAAAAAAAAAAAAAAAAGGAGAGCTGCTCTAAACCCAATGGGATTTCCTAAGGCTGGGATCATGGTGCACCTATCAGTGCCCTGGCAGGGCAGATCACTAATGATGGCAGGGACTAACAGGGACCCTGTCCCCAGCAGTTCTGCTTCTTTCTGGAAATGGAGGAGATGGGTTTTGACCATGTCACTTGTCCAGGACTCAAGTTACTATCGGCGTGTTGCTCTTGGTTAACATGAGGCAGCTCTTACTTCACACGTAATTGGAAGACAAGTAATAAAGCAGTGGTTTTTGCATGGCATCTGCCCCCTCGTCGGGTGACAGTCCATTTCTTAGGGGTCCCTGCTACGGTGGATTTGGCAGCCCTAGTTGAACTGGCTGTGATTTTTCTGACCCCTTTTTGGACAACTTCCGTGCACGAAAAAAGTTCCAAATGGTCATGCAAAGATGTCTGTGCTAATCCTGAAGTAAATCCATCTCAACCGCAGCTCACAATGTTCTCTCTGCAGAGCTCTTTGTGAATTTATGTGAGCCTGTGGTGACTGTCTGTATAAACCCAAGGAATTGCAAATGTTGTCAGGGTATAAATGTACACATGCTTTTGGGAGTTGGTACAGTGGCAATTAATGTTTTGTTGCACTATTGGTCCTTTTTATCTGTGCATTTTAGTATTCACCAGTGGCTGGTTTTGAAAAGCAGAGGCTGACCTTGAATATCCAGGACTTTGCATATTAGCATCATTAAAAACTACCATTTACTAGGAATTTTTGAAATTATTGAAAAGGATTCAGAACTTTATTTCAAGATAAAAAAGGAACTAAATAACAAGTGCTTAGCATATCCAGAAGGACAGACAGAACTCCTCCCCTCCCCCCTCCCAAAAAAAAATCAAAAAATATAACTTAAAAACTTGAGGAAGTAGGACAAAGAGGAAGTGGGGGGAGACAGAAGATGAGTGTATGGGATTATTTAAACAAGCAACAGAGAAAGCA